GAGATGGGGGTGGGGATTGGAGATGGCTAAGTGGTTAAGAGCACTGAATTATCTCCCAGAGGACGTGAGTTTGATTCCTAGTTCTAGGGAATATAATGCCCTCTTCTGGCTTCCACAGGCACTGCATGCATTTAGTACACAAACCTAAATACTAATAGCCAGGCCTTTAATCCCAAGCTTTGGGAGGCAGAGGCAGTAACCCCATGGTAGCTTACAACCATCTGTAATGAGATCTAGTGCAGAACACTGTATACAAAATTAATAAATCTTAAATTAAAGATTAAGCTGGGCATTAACAGCATGTGCCTGTAATCCCACCACTCAAGAAGTTGAGGCAAGAAGGATTGCCATTAGTTTGAAGCCAACACGTACCAAGCCAGTCAAGCAAGACCCTACCTTTAAAAAGAAAAGAAAAGAAAAGAAAGATCTATATACATGCTAAAAAACATAAATCGGCTGGATGAGGTGATGCATCACTTGTATCCCAGCACTCTGAAGGCAGGTAGGTTGAGTTCTGAGTTTGAAGCCATTTTAGTCTATGTAAATGTTTGTGGCCAGCAAGGACTACATAGTGAGCCCCTGTCTCAAAAACCGAACAAAAAGTACATAGTGAGGTTTTATACCCCCGATTTGTTTTATCTCCTGTATCTTTTACATCAAGAATTTCAGTAGGGTTGGGGAGATAACTCAGTGAACAAAGGGGCTTGCTGTGCAAATGTGAGGAACTGATTTCCCATCCTCAGGTCCCACACAAAATGTTAGATCCCTGAGGCTCAACAAATTCTAGACTCAGTGAGAGACCGTGCCTCAAAAGATAAAATGGTGGGACATGGTGGTTTACATCTATAATCCCAGGAATCTGCCTCTAAGCCTTCTAGAGGAAACATATTATTGGTTTCTCTCCCTCTAACACTATAAATTTGCCTTTTATGAAGATAGTAAAAACATAAAATCAAACCGTATATACTTTGTACTCATCTTAGACCTTGTTCTCTGCCTCGTTTCTGGTGTGTTGGGTTTATAGGCTTGTTTCACCATGCCTAGCTGGCTGGCTACTTGAAAAGGAAATGTTAAGGCTAGGTGAGGTACCATGCCGGTGGTAGTCCTAGTATTTGAATGGCTAAGGCAGGAGATTACCACTAGTTAAAGCTATCCTGAGTGAGTTGATGCTAGGCTGGGAGACATAGCAAGACCCTGTCTTTTTAAAAAACGAAAGTGCAAAGCCTTCCCTCTCCATTAATTATTAATCTCCTTTAAAGTGTAACATAAGAATATATAGTTGTAGGTGTTTTGGCAACATCCCTTTAGCAAATGAAGTATTCATAAGAATGTTCCCTTTAGTAGTTATTAAGACATAATACCAACATTAGATTCCAAGGAAGCAGCTGTATGTAAAAGACAGTGCAGCCAGTAGTGGTGGTGTGTGCCTTTAATTTCTGCAGAGGAAGGTAAACCTCTTGAGTTTGAGGGCAACAACCTGATCTACAGAAAGTTCCAGGACAGCCAGGGCTACACAGAGAAACACTGTCTCGAAAAAACTAACAAGACAGTGTTGTCCAAAGACAGCTTCAAGAGTAAAACTCAGCCAGGAATGGTGACTCACACGTTGTAATCATGCTTGGGAGGCTGAGGCAGGATGATTGTCACATGTTTAAGGTCAGTTTGAACTACATAGTTCTAGGCCAGTATAGGCTACAGAATAAGAGACCTCATATCAAAACTTTAAAGAAAAAAGGGTTAAAGTCTATGGAAATGAGTGGTTGGAATGACCTCAGAAGACTCCACAGAATGTTCCTCAGCCAGATTCTGTGTGTATGTGTACCTAGTCATGTGGAGGCAGGAGGTTAATGTTGGATGACTTCCTTAATTTCCCTTTCCTTATCATTATTATTTTTTAGTTTTTTTTGTGTGTGTGTGTCTATGTATAAACACCACAGAATTATTTGGAGGTCAGAAGACAACGTGCAGTAGTAACCAGTTCTTTCCATCCACCATGTATTTGGGTCCTGAAGATTGAACTCGGGTTGTTGGGCTTGGTAGCAAGGGGCTTTAACCACTGAGCCACCTGGATAGTCCCACCTTCCTTTTTGAGACAGTGTCACTGGTTGGGGGCATCCTGATTTGCCAGCAAGTCCCAGGTATTCTGTGCCCACCTCTTGGCTGGAATGACATATGCTACCATACCTAGTGTTTTACATAAGTTCTGGGGCTTGAATTTGGATCTCCTTGCTTATGTAGCAAACACTACCAAATCAGCCATCTTCTCATCCCTTCAGACAGGTTTTGATGAGCCATCCACTGCCTCCATTTAACTTTCAGGGGCAATTAAAGGGAAAGCCACCAAATCTGGAGTTAACTTGAGGAAACTTAGTGTGTTGGCGGAAATATGACATCTGAGAATATCTGAAGGCAAAGGATTGACAGCTGAAGCATGAACAGTTGTGGTTCGTGTAAACAGAAGCCGAAGTCCTTAGACACGTGTTCACCCTTGCCATTTCTGATGCCATTAATCTATCAGAGGTTGTTGATGTCATCAGTCTCCTGACTCTAAAATTCCACTCATATCCTGACTACCACTAAATTTATCTCTAGCTTGCACTGCAAGTTCATACATCTAGTTGCTTATCTGTCACCTCTGCCTAGATGCATAAAGGCAATGTGAACCTGTGTCCAAAGCTGAGTTTCTGATCATATCCTTCCTAGCTCAGAAAACACAACTTCTCTTCCCAGCTACTCAAGTCAAAGTCCTCAGTGTTATGTCATTTCTTTGTGTCATACATCATGTTCCATCTGGGCCAAGCTTTCAAATAGCCTGGGTCTAGCATTTCTCAGCACCTGGCCAACATTGTGGCTAGAATGCCTTTTTATTTATGTATTTGTTTATTTGTATTATAATTATTATTGGTTTTTTTTTTTTTTTTGAGACAAGGTTCTCTGTGTAACAGCCCTAGCTGTCCTGGGACTCACTCTTGTAGAACAGGCTGACCTTGAACTCTAGTGTCCCGTCCGTGCCTGCCCCCCCCCCCCAAGTGCTGGAATTAAAGGTTTCGCTACTGCCCAGCTTCTGAAATGTTTTTAAAATTGTTGCTGTATATAGATGTGCATACATGATGTGGACAGGGATGGTGGTGGATGGCCAAAGTACAACATTGTGGAATCAGTTCTCTCCTTCCACTTTTGTGTGAGTTCTGGGAGTTGAACCCAATTACCCACAGCATGCCGTACACATGGATGTGCAAGCTTGGAGTGGTCCAGCTTGGCCAAATGGGAGATCTGTTTCTAGTTGATTATTTTTGTGGTTATTTTGACATAAGGTCTCTCTCATTTTGTAACCCAGGCTGTCCTAAGACTCACTGTGTAGCTCAGGTTAGCCTCACCCTCATGATAGTCCTTCTGCTTCAGCCTCCAGAGTGCTGGAATTACAGACATGCACCCCAGCCTCAGCTCCTTTTGTTGAATGAAGTCTTAGCCACACTGCCAGCCCACTGAAGCAAAATCTGCATTTTGACAAGTCCTCACTAGGTGACTTCATTTTACCAAGTGCTGACCTGTAATGCCCCATCCCCGTTCTTCTATAGGCTTGTCCAGTCCTGAAGGTAATGTACTTAGTAATTAAAAAAAAAAAAAAGAAAAAGAAAATTTATGTATGTATGTTTGTTTTTTGGGTTTTTTTTTTTGGACCATAACTAGAATGGAAGTTCCATGAAGGGCAGTGCTGTCTGTTGGGTGCTGTACCTCAGTGCCAATAAGTATTTGATGAATGAAGAGAATACATGCATGAAATAGAATTTGCTTTGTGGTTTGAAATGTGTAAGTCTATGTAATAAAAATCCTCTGTAGCTCTCAGTTCTAAGATCGGGGTGGTTATTTTGACATCAGTGTGAAGGGGTTTTGTTCTCTTGCCTGGGCATGATTTCCTTTAAACCAGCATGACTCTCCCATTCATTCTTATTTTCAGATGTTTGTCTTTACAGCAAAGTTGAGGTTATGTACCCTATAAACTCTACAGTTATTTCCTTTTTGTATTTAGAAAGCACTGTCATTCTGAGTTAAAGCTGAAATCTCTTAAGATTTTATCCACTTTTTGTTGATCTGTTTGTATTATTAAATCAGATTTTAGTAATAGGTTTCTTAAAAGTAAGAGGACTCTAGGGTGGGTAATAGAGGTGGGAAAGATGTTAAAGGGGGTAGACAGAATGAATTTTTATATATGTATAAAGTTGACAAAGAACAAACTCTAAAGTTATTTTAAAAGATTCTGAAAATGAAGTCATATGAAAAATTTAAAGTCAAACTTTAAATAAAGGAGTGGAATGTGAAGTATCAGTTTTCTTTCTTACTTGGGAAGCAGGATTCTAGAAGAGACCTCTGGTTTCTGGTATTGCTATGCATTCAAAGATCTGTTCCCAGGGTATCTGCTCCTCAAGCCTATGTTGGTAAGATTCCAGTAAGCAACTTCTCCATCTGTCGATTTTGAGTACAGCTATGGAATGGATCGCATCAGTAGTTTTCATCTAGGGATGCTTAGCACTTGCTGAAGGTTTTGGTTGGTGGCCACAGCTGAGAGTGGGAAATGGGATGGGTGGAGGCCAGGGACCTTGCTAAAGCTTGTAATGCAAGAACATCCCTCACCTCAAAGAATTTCCTGCTTGGAAAGGTCTGAGAGGGTGACTTGAATTGAGAAAGGCTTTCTCTTGAGTACTGTCAGTAAAGAAACCTTTGTCTACCTCAGGAAAAGACAATGTGGCCCTGGAGAGTCTTTAGATGGAGATACAGAGCTTTTAGGGATGTTTGTATTAAACCATCATTTAAAATCAGGTACAATATAGGAATTTAATGATTGGCCTTCCCCTGTGCATAAATCACTCTTGGGACAAAAGATGTTTAAGTATTTTGTCAACATAGTTGATTTTGGAATTAGATAACATTCTCAAATAATTTTACATTTTAAAAATTAGGGAATCTCAAATATAGGGTTACTGGTTTTCCTTATTTTACAGATGGGGTCGAGGATTTGGTCTTTTGGGTTCCATTTTTGGAAAAGATGGTGTATTAAACCAGCCAAACAGTGTCTTTGGACTTATATTTTATATACTACAGTTATTACTTGGTAAGTATTTATACAGAGATACAGAAATAAGCTTGTTATACCCATTCAGTGCTTGTGTCTCCACCCTAAAGTGTATCTGCGTAGTAAAAAGTACATGTGATAATAGAGACCCACTAGGGTGCTGCGTATTTCTGTATTGTGAAAATGTGGTTCCTTGCTTTTTATGATGTGCTGACCTTGGTATCAGTGGACACTTAGTCATAGCTAGCAGTGTGTCATACTATCCAGAAACATAGCCCCATTCATGGGAATTATTACTCCAGTCTTCCTTGCAAGCTTGTTTTTAAGAACTGTATTGTAGACTCTAGCTATTTTTAAGTAAACAGTAGCAGTAACCTGCCATAATTCCATTGCATTTATGTTTCTACTGTTTCCCTATCTTGTGGGTCTTCTGCTTGCCCCCTGTGGTGCTGGGATCAAACCCAGAGCTGTATAACTGAGCTATATCCCCAGCTCTGCTTTTGCTTTTTAAAAAAGTCTTGTGGCCCCTTATTTTCAGTATCATTGCCTGTGTCTGTGGACATTTCAGTTTCACATTTTTCTTAAATAATGCCACAGGGATCCATTTTCTTTAAAGCACTGCCCCCTGGAGTTATTTACCAGAAATAAATTTCCAGGTATGAGGTTAATGAGTTTTTTTTCTTTTTTAAGCTTTTTTAAAAATGGATTTTAATAGTTAAGGCCAAATTGTCCCCATTGTCTGGTCTCCATCTAATCTTCATTTGAAAAGTTTGTTGTTGTTGTTTTTTGTTGTTGTTGTTGTTTGTCAGATTTATCAAGTATCAGTAGCCATCTTTGTAAATTTACTGTATTTTAATGTCCTTTTGCTGCCCACTAAACTTATTGTGATAATCTTTTTACCCTTTGAAATGTTGGTTTTGTGGTTATGCCTTGGGTCTAGTACTTCCATTTGTGCTTTGCAGTTCAACTGTTAATATTTTATTCCATTGTTTGTCGGCTCTTCTGCACAGTGATTGGTTAAGTCTGAAGTTGGCTTGCTACATACAATTCACAATTGGAATATGATTTTTTCTAAAAAGTTTTATCAAGTTTTCCCAATTCTGAATTTTCCATATTTATCCTGCAGAAACAGGAAGGTGTAGACATAATGGTATTGCACTTTAAAATAGCAAAGCTGCCACTGGGGGCTCAGCAGTAAGTAATGGCTGAACTAAAGAGGGCATATCCATGTCAAAAAGTGAGTGTGGGAAGATTAAGATGCTGTCCAGAAAGACAAATTGAGGTTTAAGGCTTAGTGCAATCAAGCTTGTATATTCCTGTAAAAGCACTGTGAGGGAGCCAGGCGGTGGTGTCGGCACACATCTTTAATCCCAGTACTTGGGAGGCAGAGAGGTAGGTGGATCTCTGTGAGTTCGAGACCAGCGTGGTTTACAAGAACAAGTTCCAGGACAGCCTCCAAAGCAGCACAGAGAAACCCTGTCTCAAAACAAACAAACAAACAAACAAACAAACAAACAAACAGAAAAGCATTGTGAGGGATTCTGTGGTTGGAGTAGAGTAGTTTCATCTCAAATTTCTTTTTCTGTGGGATTTCTAAAGTACAAACCCCGACTCAAGAGCAGCTCCTTCTTCCTTAGTAAGAAAGTGCTTAGGAAAAAATATCATCCATATTTATGTGGGATCAAAGTAAGACAGGCTTCCATTTCAAATATCAATGTGTGTAGTTTCATCATATGTATTTCCACTCACGTTTTCTGACTTTTTAGTTTCCACATGCTTTCATAATGTCAGTTCTCTTGAGTCCTCTGACACATCCAGTTCTTGTCACCTCACTCCTGTGTAGACTCTGTCATCATTTTAAATTCATTCTTTGCACATAGTTGAGATGTTAAAAGTACAAGATGCTGTGTGGTGAAAAGCACTCCCACCCAGTTCTGCTTCACATGGTCTTCATTTTTTTTCCTCTCAGAGCATAAAAAGCAAAAGCTGTGTTCTCAGCTTACTTTCTTTTCTCCCCTTTTATTTTTTTCTTTTTGTTTGACCTGTCTTAATGATCTTTTTTTATATCTTTATATGATACATTAAGTGCTTTTGTTTTATTTTTCACATCTATAAAATATTCTATTGCTAGAGTTATGATACATTAAAATTGTTTTCTACCAATCACAAGTGCCTGCATATCCACAGTTAGTATAGTAGCACTTTCAGGGTACTCTGAGCACCTTATTGTAGCTCAGATAGTCAAGCTTTAGCTGAGCTCACTTAATCCTCACTGAGATGGTAGCTTGTGTACTGTCTGCTATTGACATCTGAGCAGAGAAAAACACAGTAAATAGTTTGCATATCATTTTATTTTCTGTTTGTTTGCTTGCGGTGCTGGGGATTGCACCCATAGCCTTGTGCATCTAGATGACAAGAGATTTATTACTGAGCTTCATCTCTAGCCTCTAGCATCATTTCTCAAGATCTTTATCTATCCATCTACCTATCTATGTACATACTTCAGACCAGACTGGCAGTCATAGCCTTGGCTGTCCTTGGATTCACAGAAGACCTCTGCCTTAGCCTCCTGAGTGCTGAGTGCTGGGATTATAGAGTAGATTGCCATGCCTAGTTCTTGAATCATTTTAAAATTTTCTTTGGTAAAGTTAAGGTGTCAACATTAATTATGTAAGCTTTTAGCATAGGTGATTTAGCCTAAGTGAGGGCAGTCCTATTTGAGTAATTTGAACTTAGTCTAGGCTTTGCTGGCCTGCTAGCCTTTAGATAGGCAGGGAGTTTAATAAGATCTGCCTTTTCTGACCTTGAAGATAAGTGTTGTAGTCTTACTGTCTCTGGCATTAGGGAATTACAGAATACAAATGTAGTCAGGACTGCAGGCACACTTTGTCTTGAGCCCTGGCTTCAAATACCTGACTACTTTTTCCCTCCTTGGGACAGGGTCTTCCTGCAGTCCAGGCAGGCCTCCAGTCTGTAGTCCTTCTGCCTCTGTCCCAGAGTGCTGGATTATGGACATATGCCACCACACCTGGCTCAAAATGCCTTTTTTCTTGATCTGCTTTGATGCACATGTGGCCCTTATCTACCAGTTTGCCACCCTAAAAGTGTTTCAGCACTCTATGTTTTGCTTTTTCCTCTTCAGCACAGTGTTGCCAAGGACATCACCAGGTCTGGCTTTTTGGTGAATTTGATCTAAACATAAAAAGCAATACTCTCTCCAGCTAGGAAGGCTTTTACCCAATAGGTGGGGCTTGGAAGGAAAGTTGCAGCCTCCGTTCCTGAGCTCTTAGGAGACTGTCAGCGTCTTTGCTTAAAATGATTGCAAGCTTGCAGAGTTCATGTGCAAACTTTAGTGAAATAGTAACAGATCAGAAACCTGGCAGCTCTGAACCCGTCCTTTCAATAAAATTCAGCCTGCTTTGTGTTAAAAACAGACAGGCAGAGGGTGCAGTCTGTTTCTAGAGTCAGAAAGGTAAGGTCGGTATCGATACACTATTGCTTTTAGCCACAGCCAGTCATTTGTCTACTGAGAAACTTATGTCCAGCCCAGGCCCTGACCTAGCTGTGTCTCTTTTGCAGGCATGACAGCCAGCGCAGTTGCAGCTCTTGTCCTCATGACCTCCTCCATCGTGTCCGTGGTGGGGTCTTTGTACCTGGCCTACATTCTGTACTTTGTGCTGAAGGAGTTTTGCATCATCTGCGTTACCACCTATGTGCTGAACTTCATTCTCCTCATCATCAATTACAAACGACTAGTTTACTTGAATGAGGCCTGGAAGCGACAGCTGCAGCCTAAGGAAGACTGATGGCTGGTGGACTCCCACCCAACTGTCTCAAACACTTCTTTCATTAAGTTTATTTTGCAAGTTTTCTTTTTTTTTAATTCACAACAGACACTTTCCCTGAGAATCTTAAACTGATTTTTTAAAATACTGTAAATTAGAAGGGGCCCTAGCTATTTTCTGTGTCAATCTTCATTTTAAATCCGGATACAAAAAAGGATACACCGAGCCAATCAAAGACAAGCTTTAACTTTACCTTGAAGATGTTTCTGAGATAATAAAATGTAGCCCTAGCCCCCGGTCCTCAACCGTAAAGTGAGCAGCCATTGCTAGTAATTCTTCAATGTGCATAAATTCAATTTCAGGTATAACAAATGTGATCATGAACATGAAAATATTTTAGAATAGATACTGTATTAAATATTGCCATGTTTACAATATGTAATATGTTTTTAGCCAATGGATTTAAACCTGTAGATTCAATTAGAGTCCATTTGTGTGATATTTGTAAATAAAGGTAGAAACATTGGATCCACCCCTGCAGAACGTACTGTACAGTTTAGTTGAAGTGTAGCAAGGAAGAATTGTCAGCTCATCGTGACTGCTAAGTAGTGGAGATAGTAGACACCATCAGAACACCTTGGGAAACGTTCTGACAGCCCTGGTGCGGGATGACAGCAGAAACAGTAGGGTGCTTGGTTCCCTTCCATCTCTCACTCTGAGAGGAAGAAGCTAAATCTGAACATCCAAGTCAAGTTTGACTGGTCATAAACTGCATGGATCCTAACTGTTTAGGATGTCGTGTGACCAGACTTTAATTCTAAGGCTCTTGGGACACTGATGGTAAGAAATGGATGTAGTCTTTGGAGAAAAACTGAAACCACTATGGCATTTCCGGGCAAAGCCTCTTAACCAGTAGCTGACCTTTCAATACAGATGTGTTCCCTTGATACTGGTGCCTGTCAGCTCAACAGTATTAGGACTGGAATAAGCACAAGCCAAGTGCTCCAAGGTCGGTCCATAGTGTTTCCTTTCTCATTTCCTCTTGCACGAAGGATTGTCAGTAAGTGTTTCAGAATCACATATTGAATTTGTAAACTTAGGGCTGATTTGAGGACCAGTTTGCTGACTCAGAAGAAACACAACACATAGAAAGACCTGGAAGTGAAACATGGAAACTTTATCCTACTCCAGTAGCCACACAGAAGCAGTGAGAAGAAACCCAGAGGTGATCTGAATAAACCTGATGACATGGTGACTGTGTTTCTCTGGTTAGCATCTTCCAGGAGATGTTAAAAGTGCCTTCTGTCTTAAATCTCAAACCAAATCATTCTGTGTGTTGAACTGGGGCAGAAGTATCCCTCCTTTCATTCCTTACCATGAAGCAGAGAACTTGCATTCTACCAGAAGGGGCTGTGCGGCCATCTTATTCCTTGAGTCGAGAAGTAGTGGCAGTGTTTTTGTTTATGATTTAGTTAATCATTATGTTAAAAATAGGCAACTAGATGGCAAATTTTGGGAGCTTTTATTTTCCGTCTTTTGGAGGGAGGGAACAGGCTTTGCTTTGTAAAGAACTGTGTGGTCAGCAATCGTTGAGTGGTTTACAACTGTCAGTCACAACTCATGCACCATATGATTTCTGGCCCAGGGCAGGTATAAAATATGAATTGTGATGCCCTTTTTCTTAAAAACCTGTTTCTTAAAAGACAGCTTAATTCTGATTTCATCAAAGGTTGTGTTTTCCCATGAATGTGAACATTTCCATGACTGTCCTACTACGTGTGCATTGTTGTTGTCTTCTGAAGTAGTTAAAGAATGCACCGACTGGTATTTATGGAGAACCAAGTCCTTATGGGAGAACTGTACAGTGAGGTCATCTCATAGCCCTTCATTCAAGTCTCCCAAGGCAGTGGAAATGGCTAATAGCCAAGACTTCTGCTACTTAGATATCAAGGCTGTGCTAAACAAGCCCCTTGGGTCCCAATTCCAAAGGATCTTTTGTATCTTTCATCACTCAGCAGAGCCCTTAAAAGCTTGTCTTGACATTACAGATGTCTTCAGCACTTATTTAAGAAAAGGGGAGAGTATTCATCTACTAGACCCTTCATGGTTTCCCTCTGCTTTCCTGTCTTGAGAGTACCACCACTATAGATTGTATGAATTTTTTGTTTGTTTATTACATTCCTGTGACCTAATAGAATGAATAACCCTTTCTCACCGAGAGTTAACAGGTGCTGTCTGAAATAACAGTGTTTGCCGATCAGTGTGTTCACACTTGCCTGTAGTCCTGTCACTTGGGAGGTAGAAGCAGGAGGATCAGGAGTTCAAGGTCATCCTTGACTACATAGCAAATTAGAGACCAGCCTTAGCTACAGGAGACCCTATCTTTAAAAGAAAAAGAAAAGGGGGGGGGGGGGAAAAACTCATTTGCTGAAATATATTCTCAGTAAGCTCTCTGTTGTGTTTTATTTGGTAGTTTTTGCCCTGAGGATTCAGGTTCCTCTCTGTACCTTGTATTAAACCTAGTGGAATGGGGGAGAAAAATACTGTGTTATAAAACTGCTAATATTGTTATGCTGTTTCAGACTGGATACTTAACCCTGAAGAGGCAGTGTCTGGCCAGGCATGGTGTCACAAACCTTCAGTCCCAGCACTTGGAGGCAGGGGCAGGTGGATCTCTGAGTTGGAGGCCAACCTGGTCTAGATAGTGAGTTCCAGGCCAACCAGGGTTATATGGTGAAACCCTGTCTCTAAAAGCCTACCCACAAAGTAAAAACACACACTGACGCATGACTGGCAGTAAGTGTGGAAGGGCAGACTAGGGGGGAAATGACTCCTGAGTGACTCTGTGAAGCCTTTATTTCCCTTCATAGTGGTGACATGTGAAGAGTGAGGGAAGTTCTGACCAGGTATGCTCCAGGAAAACTGTGGCCGGCCTGTGCGATTTCATGGGCCTTTCCCACAGCTAGTTTCTGTCAGGGAGGGGAAAGTGGAATAACTCAGGTTTAACAAGCTGTACCAGCTGCATTCCAGGGATTACTTTTGCTTCATATGTGTAGCCTCTCCTTCAACTCTTCTGTTGTTGTTTTTTTGTATTTTTTTAAGAGACGCATGATCTCACTCTGTAGCCTAGGCTGTCCTAGAACTTAGTACATAGCCCAGGCTGGCTTAAAAGTTGGCATTCCTCCTGCCTTAGCCTCCCAAGTGCTAGAATGAGTGGTTCAAATTCATTATATTTAAGAACGTAGAAAGACATTGAGTTTTTTTTTTTTTTTTTTCTTTCATATAAAGAGATAAAGCCCACTTTGTCATTCTTGCAGAGGACCTGGGTTCGGCTCCTATCACCCACATGCCAGCTTAACTCCAGTTCAGGGGATCCGATGCCCTCTTCTGGCTTCCAAGGGCACTGCATGCATATGGTGCATAGACATACATGCAGGCAAAACACCCATACACATATGAAAGTATTTCACTTGGTACAAGATATTCTTTGCCTATGAGGTAAGATAGAGAACAATAAAATTAATGTTGTTTTTTTTTGTTTCTATTTATAATTTTTTTCAAAAGACTACAGTACAAGTGCAGCCAGGCATGGTTAGCACCTATAATCCCAGCACTTGGGAAGTGGATGCAGGAGGACCAGAAGTTCAAGGGCAACCTCGGTTATATGAAACCTTGTCTCAAAAGCAAAAATTAAAAACACAGAAACTGCTCAGCAATTACTTCCTAAGCTATAGTTGGCACCACAGGTTGATTCTGATGAATACTGACAGGTGGTGGCTTTACCTTCAAAGTCAGAAAACTGTCATTTCCAGGAACCTGCTTTGGGGTCTGGGTTTCAGCCATCCCTGTGTTTTCCTCCAGCATACATCAGTGAACCTGCCCCTCTATACCTTTTAGCACTTTAGGCAGCATATATAAGAATCCTAATTTGTGAGAACAACCCTACAATCAAAGGGGCAGAGTAGAGTTCCAAGCAACTTGATCAAGCAGCCCTATCCTCTCTATAAACTAATTGGCCCAGAAGAGGTGAAATGTTATGAAGCTGTATTGAGCATGGCCTAAATGATAGGTGTATATGACCTGTGAAAATGTTCCATCTAAACTATTACTCATGCTTCGAAAGCTCCTGAGTAAACATTCGTGTAAAAAGGAGTTCACTGGGAAGATTCCCTCTTTAATATAGATAGAAATATTCTTTATCAGAGATTTAGGATACCATTTTGCTAACTGGTAAATAAAAACATGTAAATATGTAAGAATGTTTATTTGTTGCACATAACTTTTTTGGTATAAAATAAATGTAGACGTTACCTGTGGACATTGTGCTGCCATTATTCTTACTTCAGTGTGGAGTCTTCAAAATGAAGCTGGATGAAATGAAGTCTAGAGCCAGGAAGAACTTGCACATCGGTGGTACTATAAGCCTGCCCCTACAGGAACTCATTTCAAGCCTTTTCTCTTAAACCCCAGGTAACTTACAGATGATACAGACTTCTGGATTCCTGTGGGTTTATTACATATGTGATGATCAAGAATCCATGACAGGACTGGGTGCTGTGGTAGCTATGCCTTTAACCACAGTAGGAGCAGACCTAATTCTGTGAGTTTGAAGCCAGCCTGGTTCACATAAGGAGTTTCTAGGACAGCCAGAGTTACTTGATGAGACCCTGTCTTAAAAAGAAAGAAAGAAAGAAAGAAAGAAAGAAATCAGCAGCAGGCTAGAGTGATGGCTCTGTAGTTAAGTGCACTTGCTGCTGTTGCAGAGGACCTGGGTTCAGTTCCCATCACCCACATGGTGGCTCACAACCACCTGTATGTAAGTACAGCTCCAGGGTTATAAGAGAATCCATGAAAGGGCTGGGAACATAGCATTTGTGTAGTGCCCACTAAGTTCATTCCCAGTGGAAGAAGAAAAAAAAAGGGCAATAAGCCAGATACTGGCGGCACATGACTGTCATCCCAGGCTGGGAGATAGAAGTCTAAGCATCAAGAGTTTGGGGTCATCTTCAGCTATATACTGAGTTGGAGGCCAGCCTAGGCTGTGCAGGATGATGTCTCAAAGCAACTGACTAAGAATGGCTCAGGAGTTAAGACCTGGTTGCTCTAGGAGAAGATGCAGGTTTGACTCTCACCCCATGTGGCAGCTCCCAACCATCTGTAACTCCAGTCCTGGGGGATCTGATGTTCTCAGGAACCAGGTATGTAGATACAGACATACATGGAGGCAAACACCCATACACATAGATAGGGGAAGAAAACTGACAAAAAATGTGACATAGAATGCTTTAAGATGTCTTTCCATAGGTTTCTTCGAATTTTCCATTCCAGCAGTCCTATAAACATTTATAAATGGATGAGTTCGTTTGAAATCTAACTTAGCCGTCCTTCATTGACTAAAACATGTTTTATATGAAACTTTAGGATTTGGGTTGGGAATATAGTCTTGTTGATAGCTTGCATGGTGGGTGTATAAGGCCCCAGGTTTGGTATAAACTGGGAGTGATAATGAGTACCTGTAATCCTGGCACTTATGAAATGGAGGCAGGAGGACCAAAGCATTCAAGGTTGGACCAGTGGCATGGCTCAGTGAGTTATGGCACTTGTCATATCCTGACAGCCTGAGTTTTATCCCCAGGACCCACATGGTTTGAAAAAGAGCACCCATTACCACAGTCGCCTTCTGACATCTATACATGAACTGTTATGAACACACAACAAGAAGATTAATAATTTTAAGTTTAAGGTCATCCTATGCTAAATACTAACTTAAGAGACTAGCCCAGCCAGGTGTAGTGGTGCACACCTTTAATCACAGTAGTGGCAGGCATATCTCAGAGTTTGAGGCCAGCCTGGTCTACATAGTGAGTTCCAGAATAGCTAGGACTACATACAGAGAACCTGTCTCAAAATAACAAAGAGATAATAGCCTGAAATACATAAGATCCTGTCTCAAAAAACAAAAGACCATCTTGGGACTCATGTGAACCATACCTTATCTCTAATTTGTAAAATGTTTGCATGTCTGTTCCATTTAGCATACTGTTTGTCAACTAAGAAACTTTATTTAAATTTGTATTAAACTAGAGGCTGGCTGGAAAGATAGCTCATTGGTTAAGAGCATTGGCTGTTCTTCCAAAGGACTGATGTTCAATTCCCACCATCTACATGGAGTCTCACAACTACCTGTAAATCCAGTTCCAGGGGATTTGACATGTTCTGGCCTCCACAAGCACCAGGCCAGGCATGCACATGGTACCCAAACACTCATACACAGAAAATAAACAATAAATTAATAAGGTGCCGTGCTCGCACAGCCAGAGTACCGAGCTGGTGGAGGGTGTCGGGATTGAAACACTTAACAGTCCACCACAAGAAGTGAAGAGGAAGCTGCTGCCCTTTATTACAGAGAGTAATGTGCTTATATACCTAAGTCAGGGGATGGGCTAAGCATAGGAGGAAATCATGCACCACCCACGCCTGGGGTCAAGGCTCGGGCACTGCACACCGGAAAGTTATGAGAACAACCTTGTTTGATCAGCCTTGAGAGCTTGGGAGTTCCACAGCTGGGTGGGGAGGAAGAGAGCTGTAAGGGACAGGTACTTAAATTTGTCAACAATGAGGTATGAATAAAAATTTATATTAAGCTAAGACACAAAACTTGATCATTTTGAAAATTTTAAGAGGTCCATGGTGACATGAAACAGCTCTCCTAAAATTCCTTGAAATTATAGTAGTTTTAAATGATCTTGAGATAATAGGAGGAGGCTCTCTGAAAGACTGGAAAGGGATGTGTATAGAGGCATGCAGCTGACCCTGTGGAAGGAGTCTAGCCGTCTCCAGCACTGCACATGGCTCCTTGTCTCCCACCTGAATGACAGCTTGGGAGCCCTCTTCAGGACACCTGTCATCACACTAGTGTTGACCTTGGGAAGAAGATTGTGCTATATAGTGGATCCTCTGGACCAGGGATACAGGAACAAATCTCCAGGCTGAATGACTGGAAATGGAGTTTCTAATCACATTTGGCCACCAAGTGGGTGCTAGAACTTGAACTTGGAATCTCTGGTAAAGTAGTCCATGCTCTTACCCTCTCTCCAGCTCCTTACCAGTATCTCTTAAGGAAGCATGAGTGTCCACTCGCAGGTTTTCAAGAGTGCACAAAGCTAAGGCCAAAAACGGATGCAGAAATGACCTCAAACACGCTCAGCACAACATGTCACTGAGCTTAAAGCACAGACATCCGTAGCAAGTCATTATTCCCATACAAGAAAAGGTTTATTGTCACTTCTAATGGCCCCTTTGACCAGATCACAGAATCCAAAGGAAAAAAAAAAATCTCTGGAGCCAGGAGCTGTGAGGACACCTGGTCTATTGAGAAAATGTCTTTCACTTCGTCAGAGGT